GATTGTTGCTACAGGAGGCCAAGCCAAGTGTCTATTAAAGAAGAAAGAGAAATCAGAGTTAAGGACACTCAAACAAACCAACAAATACAAGCACAAACTCTACTCAAAGCTAGATTTGCCTTCAAAACGAAGCTGTAGTCAGCCCAAGCCTTCATCCCTTTCGGGATAAACCCTTTGTAATAGCTCTGCTACCCTGTCAACTCTTGCTGTAGTATCGATTTCTTTCTGTAAACTCATCTCCCAACCCCTTTTCTAAGCTTTCAAACCTCCTGATAAACCACAAAGATAGGAAGTTGCAAGACAATCAGCCTTGTCTGACAAGGTTAAACCTTGCCCGACCCTCTTTGTTTTTGTCTTTTTCATTCATTAGCCTAGCAATATGTTGCATATTACAAGTTGTATTCAAGTTATTTCTAGTAATATGGCTATTAAAAAACTCTCTCAGCGCTTGAATCCGATTTGAATATGTCTTCACAATTCAAGCCGGATCTAAGTTCTAAGCCCCCGGGCATGTAAGATTTGATCACTCAAAAGTCCTTGCCTCAAGGCATAAAAAAAGAACCTTATGTGGACTTAACCCATCCACGACAAGCTTTGATAACAAAGAAGTCCGAAGTTACTTGAGGCGCAAGTAATCGACCAGTCACTTAGTTTTATTTCTATTATATTATGATTACCATAAAACGTTTGAGTACGGAATGAATTCTTATTGGAAGCCTCAAGGCCTTTTATCTAAGGCCCCAAAAGGCACCTATTTGGATTCATTCTGTTCCTTGGGCTAGAACGTTGAGTAATAAAAGGAGTTCTGATGGGAAACCTCAAGGCCTATCTAAGGCCCTACAAAGGCACCTATTTGGATTCATTCTGCTTCTTCGGGCTCAGGTAATCAGAAGTATAATAGTTATAAGACTCATATAACCAAGAAAATGAACCTTTATATTCGAGTACTAAAGTTAGTTATTAATGGGAAGCCTCAAGGCCTACACCTAAGGCCCTACAAAGGCACCTGTCATAACTAATATAGTCTCTCGGGTATATATATATATATATAATAAAACCCAAAACATCCGTTTTACATCTGTCATGCTGAAGATGGCAGTGGCACGCCTGAGCACTTAAAAGTTAATCTTGATTGTGAGCCTCAAGGCCTACACATAAGGCCCCACAAAGGCACCTTTCAAAGTTAACTCTGTCCTTCTCTTTCAGCCTTGCCCGACAAGCCCGCCAGTTAAAGCAGAAGCCCGGCAGAAAGCATCAACCGACACCGACCTCTCGGGGAGCTGTGTGCTCGTCGGCTAGGAAACATCCCCAATGGAAATTCCTGCCACGAACATATATAATTTGTATTCATTTTATATGATGTGTTCATTTGCATCTGTGTTCATTAGTTTCTTGGTTGTTTTTGGAAGTTGACAATCTATCTGATCATAATTAACTACCGTTTGGTTCCTGAGAAATCAAAGGAATTTTTTTTTTTTTTTTAAATTCTAACAGGTGGTTCTCTATCTTAGCTAATGGATTCCTTGATTCAGATGTGGAGAAATTAGTCATTACCAATTCTTTTGTTGTTCACAGGTTGCCCTTGTTGCAAATTATCCATGGGATGGCACTCAGGATAAAAGATAATCAATTTACATCCATAAAAGTTCTGCACTGAACTATGCTGTTGTATATATTTCTCGTTCTTCGTTTTTCTTTTGCCTTTTATAAGCTAGAAATCTTGTGCGCTTAATGGAAAAAACCTGTCAACCTTTAGCTCTCTCTGGAACATCTTTGACAGCAAAGGAAAAAGCAAACGATTAGTTTGTTGAACATTTGTCCAGAATAATTGTCTTCATTCATTTCCATTAGACTTCTTCCTGCTGTACGTTGGCCTCAGTGTGAGTGTAGGTTTTGATCATTATTCAATTTTACCTATGATGCTCAATGTGTTCAGGTTTTTAAATGTTTCTTTTATAGTGTGAAACAAGCATGGTGATGTCAATAGTAGGTCTGAAAGTGTTACTGTAATGTTATGAACAGTGCCGATTACTCCTAATATGATTATGGATTTTCGTATGGTTGCCTAACAATATGTGTAAGGTCAAAAATAACACTATCCCAGAATTTATATTCTAATGCTTATAAATTTGTTTATTTGCACATACTTGGCTTTTGATCTAAATTAAAGTACAGGAAAGATTATTTTGCATGTCCGGATGACGAGACATTCCGGTTCTTAGCAAGCGTATAAAGTCGCTCTCACTACAATATGTCATTGAGCAAGGAAATTGAGGGAGGCATTACAAATGGAGCTTTCTGGTATGATGGCTTGAAACATTACGACTTATTATAGGTATATTTTCTTTGGTTTGATATTCATCTATTGTTTCTTAAGATACCTGTTGTAGGTACCCTATATATGGAGGCATGCAAGACTGTAACTACATAATGGTGGCTGTTTTGAATTGACCTTGGAGATTAGTGATAATAAATGGCCTGCTGCTAATGAGGTCAGGCATCAGTTAGGCGAGTGTTTGCAACCTTGATATAAAATACTATTTTCTTTAGCCAAGTTTATCTTGTATATGGGATACGGTTACGCCCTTGGTGTAGCCATAGGTCTAATGGACCTTAGGGGGGTGGGGACGGAACTTTGCATGGTGCTGGCTGTTCCTAGTCGAGAACTGAAAAGATAAAAGTTTCCATAGGGTTAGAAGTGTTAGTTTAGTTAACCTTGTTCGTGCTCCATTAAAAACAGAATGCAAATAAATCAAGTATATACATCAGCAGAAACCCTCTTCCTCAAATATCATGTAAGTTTCTTGGTCCTTGCTTCAAGTCGGTATCCTAACATGGCTGATTATTTTCTCTGTCCTTGCTTCAAGTTGGTTAACTTTGGGTTACTCGGTATCCTAACATGTCTAATTATTTTCTCTCTGTCCATGCTACCAGTCTTGATATTATTCTAATATCATGTTAAGTTTCTTGTTCCTCACCTATACACGAGGCACAATGTTAGTTATATGTTTTTTGCCTGTTTCTTGCTTCCTATTAACATAAGCTTTGCATTCTTGCTTGTTTACACGTTCTAGTTGATTTGTGATATGGGAATTTTTGGTAGTTTTATATCCATTTAGTTAATAAGACTCAAGGGCTTTTATTGGATGATCAATTGGCACAAGTGACTTTTATTGGCCTGGGAGATTATTTCCCTTTCATTTTAACTTACTATCATTTAGCTGTTTGACGTGTTGTCTTTAATGCATATAAACATGCAGCTTCTGACTCTTTGGGATGCAACAAAATGAGCATGCTTAATCTCGTTGCAACTGTAGCCAAGGTATGTTATGGCTGCCTATCAATATGTTATTAGATGGTCTTACCACAGGGACTGAATGTTTACTTATTTTAGCTTGTGGTCTGTTGATTGATTCCATGGTACTTGCTTCACATGTTGTTTTGATCATGAGAAGAGTAATCATAAGTGAATAGCATTTTAAGTATTCTTGAAATAACTTTCTCTGTGTGAAACATTTGAGATTTAGAGCGAAAATTCTCACATGACACCATTTCCAATATTTCAAACGTTTAATTTTAGATGGGTGTGATATCGTTTAATTACACTAAACTTATACCCTCTAGATAGGGAATGCATTGAATTATGCTCCACAAGTTGTTAGGGAAACGAAAGAGAGCAACAGGGTTGTGATTAAGGCTGGTGAGTCCAACGGGTTTGTGGGAGGAGATTTTATACTAATGAAAAGCTTGTGAATGATTTTAGGCAGATTCATGAGAGGGAACGTGTGAAAAGGTTGAATCAGTTTGAGACTGCTAGAGGGAGTTCGGGGTGAAATTGGTGGGCAAGTATTCAATGAAGATGGACAAGTGAAAGAATGCTTCAAGGGATGTCTTGACACCCAAGATTGGGCGTGGTTTAGCAGACAAGGTGAGGCGGCAGGGGTTTTAGATGTGTTGGATACACCACAGGGGATGGATGTTGCATTGAGAAATCATAGGAGAGTTGAGTGTGTGTGATGCTTTTGTCGGATAATTAAGGTATTGTGGATGTTGTGATGGAGGCAAAGTTGAGATGTATGTTTGAAGATGGTTGTTGTGGTGGATTCTAGCTTTTATTGGAATGAAATGTTGAGTAGAAAGGTTAAGAAGGAGGCTGATTTCGGTTGTGGGGAAATGGAAAGACCATCACGTGTTGAAGATATTGGACTGGACATACAAGCCAGAGGAAGAACAAAGTTTGCATAACTGGAATGGTGAGGTTGATGCTGCGAGTGAGGACGAGGAAATCAAAGTTTTTGTTGGTGTGTTTTTGCGCGCGTGCGTGCATGTGAATGAAAATTTGCGAAGGATGATACTGGCAGATGGTGGGAGCTTGACTCGGATGCTGAGGCCATTTCACCACAATCATGTCGATGACACGAATCCTTCTGAATCCTGGTTGGCGATCATGTATGCTACTGAGCCTGTGATTTTGGTCAGTCAGGTAAGTTCGCTTTCCTCCCTTGGCTATAAAAGTACATGAATTGGCACTTACTCTAGGATGCTGGGCCATTGCACGCACAGACTTTTTATGGTGCGTCAGAGTTGACATTGTTTTTCCTAAGACAAATGAAAATTGATACTTAAAAAAGAAGGAAATACCAAAACTGAAATGAGTTTAACTTACAGAACATAAATTACCATATCTAAGGTCCCAGAACTTGATGGTTGTGTCGTGAGAGCCAGTAACAACTTGTGGATCCTGCAAACAGTAGACAATAAACTATAAGGAATATTGCCTCTCTTAACAATAAAATGAGAAGTGGCCAGAAAACTGTCAAAAGAGTTTCCACATATAGAAATCTAGCTATCAACCCAAAAAAAACTCAGAGATGTAATGTGTAACACAAAACTAGAAATTCAAAGTGCCTGTGAATTCAATTCACGGCAGCTTATTAATTAACTTCTATATAAAAGAAATGAGGACTACGGTTACAGGAATCAAAAATATTTAAAAGAATGATGTGACACTGAAGGATACCTAACATAAACATAATTACTATTCTCAGGACATGACAATATGAATGCTAAACATTTGAATGTTTTGCCAGATGGGGAGACCAAGAATAAACAACGAAAAACCATGACCTTGAATCTCGATCTCTAACGAAGACATCAATAACAATATAAAGCTATCATTATGAATTGTTTGGATCTAAAATATTGTCAGCATGCATACTCCACAATATGGTCAGAACACGGTAAAGAAAACAGAAGAGTTTTTCATACTGTTGGTCGAGTAAAAAACGGAACAAACTGTGTTGTCATGCCTGACAACGCATGAACTTGCATCTTGCTTCGAATATCCCAAACCTGAAAGATTTATTGCACCAAAACAAAGGTATTATTAACACAGTACCACTCTGATAAATATTACAACAATCACTTTGCTCAATCCCCAAGAGTGCTTCCTCCATTATAGTATGCAGGATTTGAATTTTAATAAGATAATTACATACCCGGCACACAGAATCACGTCCCCCGGTAAGTAAAACATCAAGAGTGGGATGAAGAGCCAAGCAGTAAACACCACTTAGATGACCATGATATGAACGGATAACCTACACAACAATTTATATGTTGTAACAACCATCATTACTTACAGAACACAACCGCAATAAAGATCTTGAAAATATTAAGTAGAAGTATTAACCTTATTCTGTTCAAGATCCCAGCATTTAACTAGTTTGTCATCTCCAGCAGAGAACATATAGGTATGCCTGCTGCTAACCGCAAGGCCTGCAAAAACCCAAGCACTTATTGTTACCAACAGCATTAACCACAGCATGGTTAACCAAAATAAACGAACAGCCAAGAGAAACCAACCTCTTATTTGCTCGATGTGTCCTGTCACTGTCAGTTGTAGAGTTCCAGTTGCAACATCCCAAATCTGATAAACCAAATCAGAAGACAATCCAAAAGAACATAAAATAAACACTCACACGACAAGAAAAGAGAACACAAATATATAATTAAAAAATGACTAATAATTAAAAAATGACAAGTGATTTTGACTTCTACAGAGGAGGAAATGAGAAAAATAGCAGGAAAAAGGGGAAGGAAAACAACTCAGACAGACCAACTCAGACAAATGAAGCATAAAGTTGCATACCTTGATAGTACGGTCTGCTGAGCCAGTGCAGAACCATTTATTACTTGGATCAAAGGCAATAGCTCGTACCCATCCCAAGTGGCCGCTAATGACCTACATAATCAAATGGAATAATTTAACGATGGCTTGTAAGAAACATTATGCATAACCTTTTCCTTTCTTCAGATAAGAGACAATAGCATAATGGCAAGTTACAACTCATGTTCAATCATAGAAGAGGTGCAGGTCAATCTTATCAACCCATTAACCATGAAAGAGCCAAACAAAGGACAACAAAAATTGAAAGACACACCCATATAACAATATATTCCCATGTCGGTTCCTAACATTTCCATCTAATCAGAATCTCCAAGTTACCCCAGATGATATAATCCCAACTACTTTCCCCACTGCTCCTAACTGTCTATCATAAACAACACATTATTCTTACTCTGTAGATTTTCCAAGGAGCATGCCAATCAGGACGTGGCCATCTGCTGGAAATCCTTTCCATCATGGCCGATGTTGAAAACCTATACAAGAGAAAAGTAACAGTTAAAGCAAAAATGGGATATGTTTTCCGTGGTAGCATTATCAGGATTAGAGAAAATGCAACAAGATGGGATACATCATCATGCAGCTTGTAATATTTAGCATATTCAGTTCCCCTAAAATATCCCATAAAAATCCTAATAAAAACTTCACTCTAACAACACCATAGAAGCACATCATATGATACATTAATACGACTTCAACCCCACGTAATGCATGCAGATGGTGCAAAATGGTAAGGGCATTCCTAAAACAAAAAGAATTCAACCATATCAAAGGGATTCAAACCACTGTAAAACTTTACTCTTAAAAAACATCTCTCTTTTGAATATTTTAACTGGTTTTTATATTTCCAAGAACATTCCTAAGAAGTTATATGTTTCCCTTAACAACCCTAAGACAAAAATTCATAGTAAGCTAATTAGATGAAATACTGATAGCTCTCTTATATGGACTACATTCTGACATATAAACAAAAACTAAAGCAGGCTGTAGTTAGAGAAACTTAGGGGAGTGTAATCAACTTGGATTTTAGAGGATTTTAAAAGCCTTTTTTAAGTGACAGATTTTAAAGGATTTTAATAGATTCTACAATCTTATATGGAGTTTGACAAATTTATATGGATTTCACTAATAGATTTCTATGGATTTGTATGGATTTTTTTTCATGGATTTCTCAGGACTTTTATCATGCCAATCAACGTAGAGCCTACATATGAATTCATCTCCAATTTCTTCTCAACTACAAAACACTCCACACACGTACTCAAACTCAAATCCCCCATGTCCCCGCGCGCTCAAGAACCATCGCCAAAGTTGTTTCGTTAGGCTCAAATCCATCACCCCTCATTTCTCAGAACAACCCCACCGCATCTCCAGCACACACCATCTTGCAATACGCAGAAATCATGGAATTCCACGAAACCAAATCCCTCTCAATAATTTCATTAAGCACTTTCCTTGCAAAAACCCACTCACCACACCTTGCATACATAGTAATCAAAGAGGGAATCACTTGTCCATCCTAATTCAATGCCGTCCATGATTTGTATTGGATTTGAACAACAACAAACACTCACAAGCTTTAATCGCAACCTTACCAGCAACGACATTGGATTGTTCATCCAATAAAGGCAAAGCACGAAAATCAAACCCATTTTGGCAGTGGGTGGGTGGGATTGTTCATCCAATATGGCAGTGGGTGGATCACGGGGAGGGATGAGGGGTGGTGAACGCAAGGTAGAGAAATGAGGATTTGGAAACCTGTTATGTATAGATGGTGAGCTGCTCACCGGGTTCTCACGCAGGGCCAAAAATGGGGAAGACTATTCCTCTTCTACAGATAGAATTCTTTGTTCTTGAAATGAAATCCTAGGGGTGAAGGTTGGATTGTTTATGACATTTGTTATTTATACTTCTACTCTCAAATCCATCAAAATCCTTCACCCATTAAAATCCTAGCAAATCCTTGATAGTTTCACTACACCTAGACTTTTGAGGACTATTTAAAATCCTAATCGACTACCCATGGATTTGGATGTATTCTTTAAAATCCTTTAAAATCCTAATTTGACTACACCATGATTTCAAAATCTTTAAAATCTCATTGACCCTTAAAGCAAATCAGAGGAGGACAAAACTCAAACCTTTCAGATGACCCTGGAGCAGAAACAGCTAAAGTGCCTTTACCCGAAATACCAACAGTATTCCTGAAATAAAGAATATGATTAAACAATTCAGTCCACAATAAAATGCATCATTATTACAAGAAATCATAATAAACAATTTGCACTCCAGCAACGTTAGAACTAAAAAACTGTCAAATTTAACAAATCACTCACATGATTCTCATAAATGGTCCAAATATTTAGCCCAATCACTTTGAAATAAAGAAGCTAATAGTTGTAAGCCATAGTCCGAGAGTGTGCAAATACATATGGGAAGAGGGATAAGTTGAAACATGTGCAACATAGAAATACTAAATAAACACGAAAACAGCCATTAATACACCTGCAAGGAAGAAACTACTCACAGTGCCCTTGGTGCAGAAGGACCGACAACCAAAGAATTTTGAGCTCCTCTCGTCTGCGCATCCTTAGAATCTTCATGACACACATGGTATTAAACCACAAAAATAATTTAGCATGTTACAATTGCAATATAGAATACCCAAATAGAGGTAACTTTCCCAAAACAATAAGCTGAACCTTCCCTACTTCTAACTGCTTATTAGAAAAAATGATACCTGTAAGGGCAAGGGCATTGGAAGGCCCTTCAGAACCAGTTACCGGTGCAACAGACTCAGCCCGGCGAGGTGGTTTTTGGCTAGGTGTGGGTTGAATTCCTCCATATTCCATGCTTATCTAATAATTCAGATCAAAATTTTAACTCCAATGCAACATTCTTCAAATCAATAACTTCACAAAGCTCATAGTTCACAAAAATGAAGAAATAAAACACAAAAATTAACAATTTCAACTCAATAATTTCACTAACCTTGTGACTCATGCGAATTCTTTTACTGCAAAAACAAAAAACAAAAACAAAAAAAGAGTAAGCACTAATCAACGCACAAATTTAAAAATAAAAATAAAAAAATAAAAACCTAAATTCAACTCAATCATTTCACAAACCCTAATAAGTACAGAAATTAAAGGCAACGGCGGTACCTCTCGGGGTCGGGAGGGGGGAGTTCGCCATGGGCGGGGGAGAAGAGATCGAGGGATCGTTTGAGGGATTTGAGACTGAGCTTCTTCAGCGACTGTGGCTCCACTGGTTCCATCTCCAAGGTGGGCCCGGGCATGATCTTCTTCTTCTATATACTGAGGATATGGCGCGGATTCCTTTTGGCTTCCGAAAGCCCTAGAAGTTGGAGAAAGGGGAAGCGAAGAGACTCAAGAGCAACTCCAGTGCAGGAGCCCTCGACTATTCACTATTTAATCTTGAACAGTAACTGCCCTTAATGAACAGTGCATTCCTGGCAATTGCTTTTTGCATCTCTACCCTGCACTGAATAGCCCTGCAATTGGTAATAAAATATTAGTATTTTTTTATTTATAATTAATATTATATTATTTACTTTGTATAAATTAATATTATATTATTAATTATATTAATATTATAAAGGAATCCAACACTATCTCCACAACTAAGCTGCGAGACGGCGCAGACGATGACGAAGCCAACTGCCTGCTGCGCAGCCGCAGTCCCTGTCGCTGCCGTCGTCGACATGGGACGACGAGGAGGAGGTCGCGTTCGAGGCGCGGGAGAAGATCCTGATCTTCGACGATGCCGTCGACGACGAGTCCACGGCTGTCCCACCTTTTTCGTGGAAGAAGCTGTGGTTGTTCACTTGGATCCGGGCAATTTAGAAGGGGATCTCAATCGTTGCAGAGGAGATGATGGCTGACGTCGCCCAGACGTCAGCCTTGCGTCACATGGCCTTCGGGCTCTCGGGCTGGCAATCGCTACCGGGCCTGTCGCTCGGGCTTGGCCTGTCCCTCGGGCTCCCAAACGCTGGAGCATGTCCACCGGGCAACATCCCACTGTTTAATCCATTGTCCCCCGAGCAAATGCTCCCGCTGGAGCTGCTCTAAGGGGTGTTAAAAAAAAACCACCCATGAAAAAAAAAGGAGGGTTTTAAATGTTTGGTAAACTGAAAAAAAAGAGGCTTATTTTGGAAGCTGTTGTAAGAATAAGCTGAAATTAAAGGAAAAAGCTGAAGCTGCTATTTGTAGCTTTAGAAAAATGGTTTTTATTTCAAAGCATACGAAGCTACAGTGCTCCTTTAATGAAAAAACCCACTATCAGATTGTTTTTTTTTTTTTCAAAAGCACTTTTACAAAAAAATTTACCAAACACTCAATTTGATTTATTTCACAGCCGCTTATTCTCACAGCACAGCCGTTTATTCTTACAGCAGCTTTTTTTCAAAGCACAACAATACTAAACCAGCCCTAAGTGCCTGATTAGTTCGATTTACGGTACGGTTTTGTTTTTAGGAGTCCCGCCACAGACAGCCCTTGGTTATAGTAGTTCAATATATATATATATATCAACATACAAGCTAATTATATGGTAACGATTAATATAAGGGAACTTTAACGAAAAACACCCAGTACTGTTCACTTTAACGAAAAACCACATTTTTACACTAAAAAGTCAATCCTGGTACTATTCACTTTACCATTTGTTTTGTCCTTATCATTAAAACTCAAAATTTTCAAGCCATTTTCATTAGTTTTCCTTTAATATAAAGGAGGGAAAGAGCTATTTACTGGGACAAATTAATTATCACAATGGAATATCAATAATATGATTCAAATTCGTTTTTGGTAAAAATCGAACTTATAACATTTTACATACCAGTAAAAAGGAATACCTCTAAACCATAGTAGTAAGTAGCGAGTTACCTTGCTAAATGTAAGGCTGGTTTGGTATTAATGCTTTAAAAAAGGCTGCCTGTTGGAATTTTTTGTAAAAGTGCTTTGGAAAAAAAAAAAAAACAGTCTGAATAGTGGGTCCGATTTCATTAAATGCAGCATTGTAGTTCCGTGTGCTTTGAAAAAAAATCTTCGTATTTATCCAAAAGCAGCCAAATAGCAAAAGCTTGTCAGCTTTGAACCTTTCAAACTTTTAGCTATTCTCACAGCAGCTGAAAAATAAAGCCTTTTTTCAGGTTTACCAAACAACACCTAAAAACCCTCTAAGATAGGGTGTTTTTTTCATGGTGTGGTTTTTGTTTAAGCACCTCACTCAAACCACTAAATCCCATATTGATTGTCTCGTTATCTAAAGTTCACTACTTATTAGAAAATCATGTTTGCCTACCAAAAATTTTAAGAAATTATTCATTCTAATTTTTTACTAAATTGAACAAAATAAAAATATGACAATCTAGAGTAATTATGCACAAAAACATTTTCATTATTTTTACATCAAATTCAGAACCATGCAAAATAAGCATGTGTTTATGCCTTTCTATTTAGGGCCCGTCGTATTTAGACCTCGTAGAAAATACTCGACAGCTCTTACTTAAATGTAATTATGTAATAAAGGAAGGGCAAATATGTAAGGGGAGGAGCCCTTATATAAGTTTTTTCCTCAACCCCTAAAACTCTAAGCTCTCTCCTCACCCTCACCAACAGAGGACCAAATCAGTCGTGCGTAGCCTTCCCTGAACATCCAAGCTGATATCTGTTGTGTTTGCTTCATGTCCTATTCCATTGTACGTGGTACTCTTCAAAAATGTTCTAAGCAAAGTGAAAATCATAAACCAGTACTCCCAAACCAACATCGTCGTGGAATGAAAGATTCAAGATCTGCGATGTCCTCTTCACCAGCTCAACAGGGAAACTTCAAAGAATCAGCAAACCTACTTGAATCTATCCCAACTTATCGAAATGACACTCAAGGAATAACTGCCTCTCGGAAAAAAAAAAATATAACCAATTTTAACTTTTTTCAAAAGCAACGCCCTCTATATCCAAACGCCAAAAATACAAACTTTAAACTTTTATGCTCACAAATAAAAAATAACAGACTTCTAACGCCAAATCCTAAAAACAAATCTTTGGAAATAATGGAGATTCAATCCAATCGCCCAAATAGTAATTTTCTGATCATTGGGTTTGAAGCTATTACAAAAATTACCACAGTAACATCTTATCTCAAGTTTTTTTTGTAACCCTATAGAATGTCCTCATCCTCAAACAAACATGGGATTTTCAACCACACCAACTGAAAGTGAGCATAATTTTAAACCCTATGGACGACATTTCGTAAGTTATCATTTAGAATCGGGAAAAGGCTTCCTGAATAATGACCCAATCCGGAGATCCTCACCGTAAAAAACTCAATCACCCAAAAGGGCATGCCAAAGCTAGATTAGAGAGAGTTTGAAGGACCAGCTCTAAACTCAAAGCCCGAAAGTGCCCATCGTCCAGGTCACAAACCCCACTTCTTCTCATCACATCAACCTTTGCAAGCAATCTGCCTAACATCCGGAAAGTCGGTTCATCACGTCCTCTTCAGATCTATTGTTGACTAGTTGAATCCACGTGAGAGATCCACATACAAAACAAGTGATGACCACCAGCTAAAAACCTGATTGACAGCTTTAGCAAGCTTCCATCCACATGACGTCTCTTTGACTGTGAAACAAGAAAATTTTTCACAACTCAATTGCACACTGATTTCTTCTCTAAGAATCTCATTTTCGCTCAACTTTAAATCAAGGTTCAACACGATTTCATTTATCCAAAGTCACCTCTTTTGCAATGTGGTTCAGTACCCCCCCAAAAAAAAATATCTGGCAAAGTCCATGTCTTTCTAAATTTTTCCAACATGGATAAATTTTTGTCAAACATTTTCAAAAATGGAACCGAATCTTTATTGGCTCCAATCGAACAATTTCATTTGGATCATTAATCCTCATTGGGTGGGCTAATCTTTTTCGAAATCGAGTCTTTCCAATCGGAGAATTTTAAATGGGTTCTTCGATCAATCTTGGTCTTTGGTTGTCTATTGCTAAGCGCAACAACAACATCTCTATAGAAATCTCTCATGTCCCTCGTCTCTATCTTGTCCCAATCATCGCTCAGCCTGACACATCAATCAACACACCAATCTGGCCAACTGAAAGAGGTAGTTTCGTGATTACCATGATTCCGCCATGGGCATTCCCTGCGACGACATCGTCGTTATCAAGCCGCGGAAGGCTCCTGATGAGCCCTCCGTCCTCACCGACGTCAACTGTCCCAAACAAGCCCGGCCCTCAGCTGCGATTAGGAGAGTTGAAGGACCAGCTCTCGTCCGCGTGGCCCATTGCCAATGTAGCGTTGCTGCTCTCTTTCATATCTCAATCAAATCTCCAACGTCCCAACGCTTCTTCGATCTATCTGTTGAAGTTTTGGTGCCACGACCAGAGAGGCTCACTCCACGATGTTTGAGCATCGTTGCGATTTGGGCAAGAATTTGTGGCGATCCGCTGGTGGCCCAAATGTTTATAATGAATGAGTTATGTGAAATGTTGGGGTTGGAGTGGTCGAGGAGATAAAAAATCAATGGCTTCTCAGTTTTCAGCATCTGTCAATTTGGCGACTAAGAACGAAAATGCCCAAATTAACTGCTGAGAGTAACCTGGGATTTTGAGATGTGATTCATTATTGTATCTGATAAACAACTTAGAATTGTCTCTGCCACGTGTTCCACACCGAGTGCATTGACAGGGCTGGAAGTTAATGTCATCATCACCACACCAGTCCGTGTCGTTCGAACACGTAAAGATGCAACGGAGTATAAAGCGGTGACGGAAATGTTTCATAACTTCAATTGTTCAGAGAGGAGGTAGAAGAAATCGCCACGCCCTGTCCCGGAAAGCTCCGGTAACCAAACCTAATTGTCATATCTCAATTGCAGAACCCCGGATCAAAGAACAGAGCAACCTTTTGTTCTCAACAATCTACTGCGTTCAAGATTTACTGTCTCTGACGCCGGTGGTTCACCTTTCGCGCGCCGCTGCTTAAAATCGTCATCTAAAAAACCACTCCGGTTGCGCTGACAAAAGGTATTGGGTGTGCTGAGAAGAAGATGGATTCTGCCGCTGCTGCTACCAATTTTTCTTCAGCCCAAAACAAACTTTCATTTTCGTTCATTTCTTCTTTAACAGCTGGGGACACTGCTGAGCAATCGGTCTTTTCTGGATTTCAATCCCCCAGTCCCACCATGTGCTAATGTAAAGCCGGGCCCATACATGAGGAAGGTGTTTTAAAGAACCAGGGGCTAGAAATGCTGTATTAAATGCCGATTTTTCTAAAGCAATCCAAGTTGCATTTGAGCTTCACAAGCCATAAGCTTTATCAGTGCTTTTCTAAAATTTGGAGGAAGAGAGAGACTAAAGAAGCTTTTCTGGA